TAGACTGTCAGTGAAAATGTTCTTTGATAATGTAAATGTTCTTTGCTCTCTCAATGAAAGTGTTATAATTAGTAGCCTAACTTGCAAGCTTAACCCCCCCAACTCTTCAGAGCCCTGTACAGTGACGGTGGAGGAAATTGATAAAAGAGGTATAGAGTTGGCCTATGCTGATCAGGAAAAGTTGTTCGTACCTCATAATGATCACATCACCTTTATGTGTCAGAGGGGCAAAGTTTCAGTAGGTTTTGCCCTAAGACAACAGTGTAATGATGGAGTGATGACTTTACCTGAGTGTGTGAGACAGTGGGAATAAAACATTGCTGAAGTGTTATCTATACTACTAAGTAAAAACTAATGGAGCAGATCAAAATAAAAATAAAAATCCCAATACAGTTTCTTTATTTTGAATTTCTTGCAAATAAAACTAAAGAAATGGCAAATGCAATATTTATGTTTGAAAATGACATTAAACCGTTTAATGCCAGCTAAGTGAACATATGTATTGTACAGAGTACAATGGACTTTTTTTTTAAGTAAAAACTGTTTATAAGAGGATGTTGAAAATAATAAAGTCTACGTGTGCGTGCGTGTGTGTGTGTGTGTGTGTGTGTGTGTGTGTGTGTGTGTGTGTGTGTGTGAACGTCTCGGTTCCTTCCTGATGGAGGGAACGGAGACGTTATGTCATGATCGACATTACGGGGATTCACTTGGGAACCCCAATCAAAGAGAAAACACCAATGACATTTGGCTAGTGGATTTTGCATACCTGAGCCACTCCCCGTGCATATGGGTATAAATAGGTGACAGGTGCATCCACTCTTTAGGTTTTACGCTGAGGAGCCGAGAACTTGTCCCTGGCTGCCAGAGATGGTTCGAGGTTGTGGCAAGGGGACATAACGTCTCCGTTCCCTCCAGCAGGGAACGAGGGTGTCGTATGTAACCGAGATGTTCCCTATCTGTCGGTCACTATGAGTTATGTCATGATCGACAAAATGAGGCCCTGGAAAGTGCCACAACCTTAACCCTGTCACAACCCCATGACGTAGCCAATGTTGGCAAGCGGCCGCGTGTCAGAGAAACACTACGCAAAGGTCGTAACCTTCCCACCGCCCCAGCGCAAATTTGTTGACCTTGGTACCCGCAGGGACCACAGGTGAACACATCGCTGCCAGAGATAGCCAAGCCATTGTTCCTTTTCCCACAGAAATTTCTTAACAGAAGGGATTTCGACCTTCAACGAAAGATTTTATTCAAGTCTTTCTGATTTGTAGTTTACAGCTTAGGCAGAAACGAAGGGGAAGCGAGCCTTCTGGAGAAGGGCGCTACGGAGGCCACACCCTACCCGTAGGGAGGTAACATTTGGAGATTATCACATGGACTGACCCAGGCCTGGGGCAGTACTACATATGGAATGGGTCTCTGGGGCAGGTCCTGCCTGACAGTAGGGATGGAACAACTGCCAGCAGAGACTGACAGAACACTCTGTCAAGGGGAAGACTGCTCCGCCCTGTCTGACTGCCGGGGTGCTGGAGGATACTCCGCCAGGGTTCGCCGTCCGGGGAACTTACTGGAGGAGGAGAAAGGCGCTCGCATCCCCGGGTGAGGGGGAATGGTGCAGCAAGCGTGACACCGGCCAGCTCTTCCCGCCAATTACCTGTTATCCAACACACGGGAAGAAACTGGCTCAACGCGGAGACTGTAGAATCTCGCAAAGGTGTTCGGTGTCGCCCAGCCCTCAGCTCTACCGATGTCTGCCAGAGAGGCACCGTGCACCAGCGCATTGGAGGAGGCAACACTCCGTGTGGAGTGAGCCCTCACCCCCAGCAGGCAAGGCACGCCTTGGGATTTGTATGGCAAGGCCGATGGCATCCACTATCCAGTGGGCCAACCTCTGCTTGGAGACAGCCTTCCTTTCTGCTGACCTCCGTAGCAGACAAAGAGCTGCTCAGAGCTCCTAAATCTCCGGGTGCAGTCCATGTATATGTGCAGTGCTCTTAGGCCAGAAAGCTGCAACCAGTAAGACCTGTTCCTCATCCTCCCTGACCTTGCACAGTGTCTGTGCGAGAAGGCTCACTGGGGGAAACGCATACTTGCGAAGAGCCCGAGGCCAGCTGTGTGCAAGTGCGTCTGTGCCGAGGGGGAACTCGGTCAGGGAGCGGAACTGCCGCAAGGCCAGATGCACTGCCAACAGCTCTAGGCAATTGATGTGCCAAAGCAGTCGGGCCCGGTCCTGAGCCCCGAGGCTGCCTGCCCGTTGCATGTAGCGCCCCAGCCCGTACTGGAGGCATCCGTCGTGACAACGACAAGCCGGGACACTAGTCCTAAGGGCACCCCGGTCGGTGTGATGGTGACACGATGTGTACCGCGGCGCCATGCCCACCTCGGGACTCGGGAGTCACTGCGAATGCCATATGCCCCAGGAGCCTCTGAAAGTGTTTCAGTGGTACACAGGCAGTCCAGCACTGACTGGGCATGCTCGTTGGTGAGTCGCGCCGTCATACTCACCGAGTCTAACTCCACACCGAGAAAAGAGATTCTCTGCACAGGGGAGAGCTTGCTCTTTTCCCAGTTGTCCCGAAACCCCAATTGGCTGAGGTGCCGGAGCACCAGGTCCCTGTGATCGCACAACTATTCTCGCGACTGGGCCATAATGAGCCAGTCATTGATATAGTTGAGGATCCTGATGCCCACTTCCCGTAACGGGGCAAGGGCACCCTCCACAACCTTCATATAGAGACGCGGGGGGACAGGGACAGCCAGAACGGGAGGACCCTGTACTTCCATGCCAGAACCTCGAGCGCAAACCGTAGGAATGGCCTGTGTCGAGGGCACATTGAGACATGAAAGTAAGTGTCCTTCAGGTCGACCGCTGCAAACCAATCCTGGAGCTGGATGCATCTGATGATGCACTTCTGCGTCAACATCTTGAATGGGAGCTTGAGAAGGGCCCGATTCGAGACTCGCAGATCCAGGATTGGCCAGAGGCCACCGCCCTTTTTGGGTACGATGGGGGGATCGGGGGAAGCAGCGGCGCTGTCTTTGCCATCTCCTGAGAAAGAGCAGCTTCCCACATCTCCGGGTTGCCCGTGTCAGGGCTGCTTCATCAACTTCTTAGACGACTTAGCGGCCGGCTGGCCTTGATGTTGTTTCAGCACGGGGCGGAGCGGCTCTGGAGGACGCAAGAGGGCGCCCACGGCGACGAGCAGACTGGGGCTTGGCCCACGGCGGAGCAGTGGCAGATGGTGCATCACGCCGGGGCAAGATGTGTTGGATGGCCTCGGTCTGCTTCTGTACTATCGAGAACTGCTGGGCACAGTCCTTGACGGCATCGCCGAACAGTCCAGCCTGGGAGATGGGAGCATCGAGAAAGCGCACTTTGTTGACATCGCTCGTCTCAGCAAGGCTGAGCCATAGGTGGTGCTCTTGGGCCACAAGTGTGGACATCGACTTCCCGAGGGACCACGCTGTGACTTCCGTCGCCTGTCGGGCGAGGTCAGTCGCCGAGCACAGCTCCTGCATCAACCTCGGGTTGGTACTACCCTCGTGTATTTAAATGCCCTGGCTTGGTGTACTCGCAGGATAACCATGGCATGCAGGGCAGAGGCAACTTGGCCCGCAGCACTGTAAGCTTCAGCCGCGAGAGCGACGTGGTTGCGAGTCACGACCCGTGCCGAGGAAACAATCATCCCGCCGCGAGGGCTCGGAACCGGTAGGTGTGCACGCCTCCAGCCCGATGCTCGCGGCGACCCGGGAAAGCACGGCCGTCAACTCTGGTTCCGATTCGGCAGTGGCGGCAACACCCGAGGGGGCGCCCCCGCCGAATCTTCATCCTCAGAAGACGATTGCCCAGGAGGGGCGGCACCCCCGGGGGGGCCCCCCCCGCCGAATCTTCATCCTCAGAAGACGATTGCCCATCCCCCGATGCTACTATCGACATCTGAATGAAACGCTGGGCACGCCATGAGACGGCACAGCAGAATCACCAGGGAGCTGCACAGAACAGCTGCTGTGGGAGGAGTGAGAGGTCTGTGGGGACTGGCCCAGCGGAAAGGCTCTCACTGTAACCCTCAGATCGCCCAGAGCACTAACCGATGGTTGTCTGCTCGCGGCAGAGAAGCCAGTGTGGGTAGTGACAGAGGGAGCCCCCCCCCTCTCGGCTCCGAAGCAAAAATCTAAAGAGTGGATGCACCTGTCGCCTATTTATACCCGTATGCACGGGGAGTGGCTCAGGTAAGCAAAATCCACTAGCCAAATTTCATTGGCGTTTTCTCTTAAAGTCAGAGATGATTGGGGCTCCCAAGTGAATCCCCATAATGTCGATCACGACTTAATTCGTAGTGACCTACATAGGGAACTGTGCTGGCAAAATGAATCACAATGAGCAATTTCTCAAAAATTACTTTTTTCACATTCTCCATTAAAAGACCTTGATGATGTATGATTTGTTGGATTCGGACAAAAAATGGCTGCGCTACACCTGTTTGAAGTCGACATCTAAACAAAAAGCATTCAAGAAAAACTAAAGAATCAAATGTAAAAATCCCTTTAGTGTGTTCAATACAATAAATGTATTATTACAACTACAAAAGCAGTTCAATCTAGAGCAGCGAGTGATTCTTTTATTGTTAGATTAACATTAATGAGGCAGCCTATTAAGACCTACTGTAATGCACGGATCTAATATAATGTTACACATCAGATGTTTTTCCCCAACAGTTCCCCGAACGTTCACTTAAGATATAATTGATTATGTTTGCGTGAATACTTAAATACTGTAATGTGTATCGGTATCGCACTGTCGGAAGCGCCTTATACGCGCGCTTCGGATGACAGTCAGCGCGAGAAGCGAGCGGAGAAAAGGTACTCCTCTCTGAAAACTTACAAATAAAGATAATTTTAGATGTTTAATTACTATTTTGAGCATTAGGATCGCTAGACGAGGGTTTAATGAACTCATTTTTTTGAAAAACTCACATTTCAACATTTTTCACTTTTTTGCCTATAGCTCAAAATTAGCGTGCGCATACCAACTCATTTTGCCAGCATGGGTCACATATTTACTAATACAAATTATTGAGCCATTTAGTATTTTCGACTACAAACTGAAGTCAGCCATCTGAACTGGAACATGAATTTGTGAAGAGGAGTGACAATTTTTCAACTAATCATTTTTGAGGGGGTGGAGCAGAGTCCTGTTTGGTGGGTCAGAGGAAAGGGGATGGTTGCTTTCAGCTACATTACACAGACTTCAAAGATTCATATCACCACCGCTCTCGAGACTGATCATGAATACATCTTTTGGAAAACAGGTAATCTGAGGTTTTCATCAGTACTAATTTATGTTTAATACTACTGAAATATTTGCATTGATTTGTGTTACTTAATCGTTAGTAAATCAGCCTTTAAAGACTACATTTTTGGTAGGTGATTTAGTCGATACTGTTTATACAGTTTATTAACTTAGTAAACTGTACATTTGTTATGTTTTACAGCTTAAAATGAAATACTGTAAGAT